TATATTATTATATTCATTATTTCATAATTAGTTTGTAACATTATTCTAGTTTTGAACAATATGGTGTATAATCGGGCTTCTGTTTGCAGGGGCTCGGGATGAGTTTATTTAAATCATCGCGAACGGATGGGACCAGACAGATTTTCTGTGACTAGAGAGATATCGGTGAACCAGATAGCGCGTATGGACGGTAATAACGTCAGTACCTATTTTTTTTTACGTAAAGCGGTATCATACTCTTAAATTACAGTTTTACGTAAAATTCACCTATTCGCATACGTTATTTTATAATCTCACCCTAATTTGTACCTTTGTTTTGATTTTTGTCAATGTTGATTATGTTGTTTTTGGTCAGGGTCACATAGGGTTACAGGATTTGAATTTTCAATGGTTTTTTATTATTCTTTGAACTTGAACGTCTTGAACATAAGTTCAACATCATAACATAACCTATAATATTCAACCAGCTCGTTGTCAAAAACCTGCGCATGCCTATTTGAGCATTTTTTAGGTGTTATTCGAAATAGCGCTTAACGTACCTAATTGTCGCGCATACGTTAAATGTCAAAATAACGTGAGCGCTAATACTGCATGACGCTATTTGGATTACCGATATCTCTCTATTGACTGATAGGTGGCTGTTCCTACAAAAACTTAATCACCTTCCGTTAGGTCATCGATAGACTCAAAAAAAAATACTGCAGAATTAGGCTGTCATGCCACAAGTAATTTTTAGAGGATGCATTTTCTTTTCGAGAATTTTCCTTGGATTATCCAGTCTACAATTACAGAAGTTCTGTTTGTGTAGCCGCTGAGATAAATACCTACCTATTACCTATCTGCAAAATTTTTACGCAAAAAAAAGGATTGCTGTTTTTCTTGATCGATCATTGATTGGCATGGACACAATTCTCTGCCGTATTCTGCTATGGCTAATTTTTCCCATGTTTATGGGTTACAAAAGTCGTCATGTTGACATGACTAGATAACATGATATGTCAAATAATTTTATCTATTTTATGGAAGCTTTACTCGAATCACCCGTTGTTTGACAATTTGATGGAAATTATAGTAAAATAATTAAATGATTGAGTTATTTTACAAGGAATTATATTATTTTATTTTTTTTATAAATAAATTAGATGATGAGTAGGTAGTAGGTAGGTACTTGTAAAATGAAATTTTGAAAACTTATCTTGGGTTTGGAGTCGAAATTTAGACAAAGCGCGAAGCTCTAGCGAGGCATCTATAAATACAAACTCTCGGCAAAGCAATTCACAAAATACTTTTTGTGATACAAAGTCCTCAATGTCAAAACTCAAACTGGAAAAAAAAAATGGTTGAAGGAATATACCTTTTTAAGCCCGTGATAAATAAAGGTTGTAAACTGTTTGCTTCAAAGTCAATTAACAATTAATCATTGAGATTTTAAATTTAATAATCATTAGTTTTCGATAAATTCTATTGATAAGAAATATATTTTTTTCAAACACCTTTATTGTCTAATAAGCAAGGTGATATTAATTATACCCCTAAAATGATAAGACATTAGGTGCTTAAGTTAAGTTAGTTCAATAGATTAAGGATTAATCGTATCTAGTTTTTCTCCGAACTACTAACTGTAATTCTTTATTTCTTTATTTAAAAAAAAAATGAGTTTTCATATATTTTAACTCAAATATTCTAGAGCTTCATGAATAATGGATTGAAACGCAATTTCAAGTTAGACTGCCTCTGTTTAGCTAGAATAACACGTTATGAGTTTTCCTATTAGATGATCTAGAAAAATGATTGGAATGGCTGCTATCATCATCCTCAAAGGACATTACTTGCTAACGAGTATTATAAGTCTCTTGCCAGCAGGTTTATCATTTATCTGTGGGTTTTTTGATGGCTATCTGAGGACCCATAACTCTTAAGTTCTCCTACATTTATTGCACACCCAGTCAGCGGTAGCCGGTCATTGCTGTTGACCGGCTCTTATCAGACCTTCTCGCAATTATTTCCATAAGCACCCCAAAACGGTGAACTTAAACAAAATTCTTAAAAGAAAAAAAAAACAATAAAATTTTCTAAAAATAAGTTTATTAAAAAATACAAGTTGCCTGATGTTGAGATGTAGCCAGCATACTGAAAATAATATGATTTTAGATATATCAGTCCTATATCAATGATTTTAGTCCCGCTAATGATTGCAAGCAGTGGCTTGAATTTAGGAATGTGAGCTGAAATTGGGTCGTTTCCCAGATTTTTGTAGGCTTCCCTCTTCTGATTTATGAGGTTCTGGATTTCTTGATTGTTCTCATCAAACCAATCCTGATGTTTCCTAGTGATAAAGGCACGTTGATTTTTGCCAGGCTGTCAGCATATAGCTGTCATAAGCCTAGTTCTCATGATGCGGAATTCCGGATTGCGGGTGCGGAATTTTTGAAATAATTCCGTTGGCGAGAAAACGTCAACTTTTTTGCGGATCCTCAATAAAGTTGAACCATTTTCAACTGTCTTGCGATTTTTTTTTCTGTCTTTGTCTAAACATTTCTCATCTTTGTTTGATTTCTACATAAACAAATAAACTAACAACTAACCTCAAACAAAAAACAATAAAACAATTAATACCTAACAAAAATAAATTGATCTGCTTGCTTGTGTGCTTGTTTTATTTTCAAATACATATTATTACGGCAAACCCCTTGTTCATGCCTTTTCAGAAGAATATTTCTGAACAACATCTTCCTTTTCTTAATATTCCTCTGCTATTCTGCTTCTTTGATGAAGTTTCATGCGTATTATGGATTAATATCAAACCCAATACTAACGTATATTGGGTGGTAGTCTGAATAAAAACGAAGTAAAGTACGTTTTTTTTTAAAGATAATTCCCCAAGTCAAAAATTTAGTAACTTTGTTGGCAACACAAGCCTTTTCTGCACAAAAAATTTGAAAGCATTGACAATTTTACATTGTATTGCCAACATAATGTCATTTTGACTTTTATCTTTAAAAAAAAAACAGATTTTACTTGCTACAGGTAGTAGTATATTCTACGAAGTATTTACTTCACAACAAAGGATTTACTAATTTCCGGTAGTTTCGAAATGTAGTATCTACTTCATTTTAAAGTAAACACTACGGAATATACTACTACTTGTCGTAGTAGCAGATACTTTGTTTTTTTTTCATACCTCCCTCTGTCTTTTCCATTGATAATAATTTAATTGTGCAATATAATTATCCATCCAGGCACACAGGAAAACAAAAACAAAAAATATGTTAGGTTAAGATCACATGTATTTGACATAAAACCGCATCCGGAATTCCGTTTCATGTGAACCATCAAAAATTACGATTTTCAAAAAACTGCGATTTCCGGACCCGCAATGCGGAATCCCGCACCATGAGAACTAGGCTTTAGGCCTTGAGCAGTGCTTTTCAATATCCTCGAGCTATGTAGCAGATAATTATTCAATCAATTCGATAGGAGCTGGAATTTTTTTTGGTGTCTTTATCCTCAATAAGTTGCTGAATTTCAACGTGCGATGTGGATGTTTCCAACGTTTTGGAGGTACAGGCTTACTGGTAATATATCGAACACCCATTATAGAAATAGCTTTAGCAAGCATGGCATCCTTCAAATATCTACTGATTAACACTATTAACAGGTTGAGCGCCACGGTAAATTGGATTAACTTCACCCTGGGCCCAAAAGCAAATAATGGTATTTCAAATACATTTATTATACAGATACATTGTTTAGACATCTAATGTAAGATATCTGTCAATTTGATAGCTGTAAGTGAATGTTCATTTCACTGGACGCGGGATATTTTTATAATCGTAACTATAATATCCCACCAGACCAGTTAACTGGACGTATTCATCAATTGACATAAGTAATAATTGTCAATAACAAAAAGAAAGTTTCTGAAAATATTAAAAACTTAAGGATAGGTATTCCAATAGACACTGAATATAATCTAGAAAGAACAAAATAGAACGAAAACAAAGTTTCTAAAAATAATAAAAACGAAAGGATATTCCAATAAATACTTAATATAATCTAGAAATAAAAAAATCAAGCAAAACGTGCGGTATGGTATGTGGTTCACCCCAAGCAACAAGTTTCATCGAAATCGAAAAATCCCTAACCGGTCTTTAAACCATCAACTTCAACACCACCTGTAGTTTAGCCAAGACCAGTGGAGGCCAATCCCAGGGTGTGAGCCTCCGCTTTCGTACCTAGGATTATGTTACTTTACGAGATCCTGCAAAGGCACCCCTCAAAAAAAAAAAAATTACGCTTTAACGAACCACAATACGAAATTTCGGATAGATCCTAAACTGGGTGCCCCTTTACTCGCTTACTCCTTTCCAGAATTGAAAGAGGACTTGGTAGTTTCATAAATCGCTTCTACGGACCTTCTTGCAACCAACTTAGCAAGTTTTGTGAACTTTGAAAAAAACTTATTTTCCACCCTCTTTCAAATATTTGCATCTTTTTGTTTTTTTATTAATTCTTCAAATGTTGTGTCCATCAATCGAAAGGAAAAGTCAAAATTATTCCAAATCGATTCTACGGACTACGACTACGGATCTGGACATTTCCGTATAATCTCAGGCTTTTTCGGAAAATTTCCAAATTTCCATTGACTGTTTAATCGTTTCCCCCTTTTTAGAGGCGAAGGATAGATTTAAAATTTTTATTTTTATTTTGACTTAAAATTTTCGATTTTAGGCATAAGTAATGTAATATGTAGGTACATACTTCGTTTACTATTTTATATGTACCTACCTAATAAAAACGCCAAAAATATGCAGGAGCCCCCAAGGCTCAAATAAGGGAAATTTCCTTTGTGATATATTTGCCTTCTCAGGCCGAGGATTAGGTACGAAAAATGATTAGAATATCAATATTTAATCCCCGAAAATCGCAATTATCGAAAAATAATATAAGATTAACCCGGGATTAAAAAGAATATAAATTTTGATAATCACCTTATATAACGGTGGAATAGTTGATTTTCAATTTCAAATTATCGAATCTTTTAAACGCGGTAGAGGTGTTAAGAAATCGAAATCGAAAATCGAAAAACAACCTGACCAAGTTTAGATGTTCAAGTTTTTAGCAATTTTAGCCCTTGCGGCCCTGTGTACAGCCGATGTTGATCCTGGACCATCACGTAAGGCCACAAACTAATCAAAAACCACAAAACTATGTGAACTGGAATATTAAATATCCATCAAAACTATTAAGTACAAACCCAGTAACCTTCTCGAGTAGCAATTTCACAGATAATTTATTACAGCAAAAAGGTGTATTCTCTCATATTGTCACAATTTTATAGTATTCATACTTAGTTGTGTTAAAGTTCATTCTCTTACTGCACTAAGTTTTAAAAACCTAGTTTTTTTTTTCAATTTGTTGCAGGCAGTAATTTCACACACAGACATGCAGGTAGTAAATTAAAATATATTTACTATACATTTTATTTAACAACTGTACATCCTATCACTTTTTTGCTTTTTTAAGAAACACAAATGAAGTTCGATGCATCAATTAGTTATTAATGTTACTAGTTCCATATGAACACCGTAATGAAAGTAATGAAAAGCGTGTAACTTTAAACCGTGAGGCGTTAGCCAAGCCAGCTTCTTTATTGTAGTCCATTTTTGTGCCATAAGTTCAGTTTTTTAGTGGAAAAGAATATTATGGGTGATTCTGATTCCGAGAGTGTCCCTTCGGGAATCGAGATAGCGTCAATGAAAAGGTTCTCCTGGTAACTAACTTTCTTTTTGAATATTTCTTATTCTAGAATTTGGTTGTTATTATGAATTCATAACCTCGTGTTATTATGAAGGCCCTAATGTCACCTAAATGAGATGCTAAATGTGTCATAATGACAGATTCGTACATTAAATGAATGAATGTACATTTTTTAACGTATTCAGTGGGTCATCCGGTATATTTTTCCTTGTTTCGATAAAATCTTATTACAGTAACACTCTATTCTCCATTTGTTACTTTTTGACACAAAATTATTTAAGTTTTTAATTTTCAATTTAGAGTGTGGCCATGAATAGGTAATAACAGTCAATTTTAAACAAGTAGTAGGAAAAGATAATTTCAATCGTCTCTGGTTTTCTAAGGGCCGATACTTTTGCTCTCGATTAACGAATTTGATACGTTGTCAAAGTTTTGCATGGGCCAACGTCTATAAGTATGATGTGGTCAGATCACATTCAGACCCCTGATTATTTTTAACGGCTGTCAAATGAGAGCAAAAGTACCGGCACTAAGTGTTCTACAGGCTCATTTATTAATCAAATTATTATGAAAATTGAAAACCTAAGTAATTTCGAGGCTATGTGTCGAAAAGTAACAATGGAATGTTGCTCAGAATGATTTTCTATCAAAATAAGCAAAAGGTGCCCCGTTGAAATTGAGAAATCTATGACCATTTCCATTTAAACTGGACGGAGGTAACAGAAAACTGAATGCGTTAAAAAATCCATATCTATGTATTAAACCGATGTAGCAAATTTCATTTGTTCTTCAAAAACTAAAAAGTTGTCGAGTGTACCCACTTTCAGTTGTCACCCTGTATACAGGGTGTCAATTTCAAAACTTTCATCCCTTTTATCTGGGAAACGGAATGTATTGTAATAAATCCCCGAAACATTCCAACTATAATTTGAAGAGGGCTGAGTTATTAATTTTATGCAAAATTCAGCTTTCCCCTTTCAACCTCCTAGCCCCTAGAGCCACCTTCTGAAAAATCTTAAATGCGAAGGGGGGTCAAGTGATTCATCATTTTAAAAATCTTTCGGCGGTTTTTAAGCTGACAGGTTTGAAGTCTCTGATTTCATTTCCGTTGATATGGCATTGGCTTGTCGAAATCTTGATATTTTTTTGTTTGTTCTTAGGTGATAAATGAATAATCACGAAAGTGAGCCACTTCCAGTCTAGTGGGTATGATGAGGGTCAAAGGACTTTTCAAATAAGCTATAACTCCACCTTTCGGGCGGAAGTGAGTCGTACCTCAAAATTTCAAATTCTTATCTCTGATATCATAATATCATAAAATTTTTATAGTTGAGGTCTTCTGATTCTCATCATACCACCCAGTTTGGTTTCGAGCGGCGAACTGTGATTATTTATTGATTAGTTAGAAACAAACACTTCCTTCAAGAATTTGACAAGGGGTTATATCGACGAAGGTGATAGCAAAGACTTCAAACATCAGTTTAAATGGGGGCTTAAGGGCCTTCAAAATAATGTTTTACTTGACTCCTCTCCCCATTTAAGTTTTTTACGGATATAGCTCTGGTGTTCAGAGGGGGGAAATTAATTTCACACAAAAACATCAAATTATAGTTGAAAAAGAAGGCTGAAATGCGGCGAAATGTATGAAAAATTTGAATTTTAAATAATTTAATTTTTTAGTATGAATGTCAAAGTTTTATCAGCTAGTTTCTAACATGACATGTATTGAAATTATGCAATATAATCATTTTGACTGGTTGAAAGCCCTAAATCTGCCGACAACGAAAGAAGTCTTAGGGCAGCTCTCAGCCTAATATTATCGGAAGCATTAATATAATGAAGTAGGAAGTAGTCATAGAACATTCGAATCAAAGGTTGAGTTGTGGTCTCTGGGTTTAAGATAAATTTTTAATATTTGCTTTGAACTGTAACTTTTTATTTCTCTAGCTCCATGTCCTTCTGACAACTCAATTCAGGCCTACTTCGCCTCAAACGATTGCACGAAATTTTGGCAGTGCTCTAATGGAGTCGCCTACTTAATGTCATGTGCTCCTCAGACACATTGGGACCAGTCCCAGTGGACTTGCGTTCATATTCGAGACTCTACATGCACTGGTGAAGGATGGTCTTCTACTGAGGTAAATATGGGATTTAGGAACGTCCTCTGTAAAATATCAAATTTAATTACCCACAATAACCCATTTTTGTTAGAACGCATAAAAATCTATGTGTATTTAAGCTATTTTTGGGATACTCAATATGAACAGGTTCTTGGAGACTTTTTGGGGCACCTTGTAGAATTCTTCACAAAATCTATTTCATGTTAACAAAAAAAAAACGGTTTCACTATAGGCTCCTACAACCACTACGACCACTACTGAGGTTCCAACAACAACAACCAAGGTCACTAGTACCACAACCAAAGCTCCAACCACAACAAGCAAGGCAACAACTACTACTACCCAGGCATCAACTACTACTACCGAAGCAACAACTACTACAACCAAGACAACAACTACTCCTACTGCCTCCACCACAACAACTAAAGCTCCAACCACAACAACCAAAGCGGCAACCACTACGACTACCACTACGGCTCCAACCACAACTACCAAGGCAACAACTACTACAACCAAGGTAACAACTACTCCGAATACTACAACTGCCTCGACAACTACCACAACCACTGCAGAACCAACTACATCGCCAACAACTAAAGCTCCAACCACAGAAACCAAGGCAACTTCTACTACAACCACTGCAGCTCCAACTACAACTCCAACAACTGAAGCTCCCACAACCACAGCAACGCCTAAACCAACCACAACTACAACTACAGCTCCAACTACAGCCCCGATAACGGAAGCTTCCACAACAACGCCGAAACCAACCACAACTACAACTAAAAAATCCACATCAAATATTACAACCACAACCGCAACCCCATCCACAACAGCAAGTCCAACTACAACCGAAGTTCCAACTACAACCAAAGCTCCAACTACAACCGAAGCTCCAACTACAACCGAAGCCCTAACTACAACGGAAGCTGCAACTACGGAACCTGAAACCAAAGCACCAACAACCAGTAAAAAGCCACAGCCAAACGACCACGAATGTCCCGAAGTAGACGGTCCTGACTCGGTTTACTTTCCAGACGAAGACTGCACCAAATTCTGGCAATGCTCTAACGGAGTAGCTTATCAGCACTCTTGCGCTGATGGTTTACACTTCAATCCGGTATTGAACGTGTGCGATTGGCCTTATAGAGCTGGTTGCGCTAACAAAACTACCACTTCGAAAGAAGATTTAACAACTACTCCTGTAGAACCGGAAATATCCTCTACTCCCACTTCTTCGGACGAGGAATCAACAAGCGCTGCACCTGTAACTTCAACTGAAGAGCAGTCAGAATCAATCACAACGGATAGCCAACCGGACGAAGAATCAACAAGCGCTGCACCCGCAACTTCAACTGAAGAGCAGTCAGAATCAATCACAACGGAAAGCCAACCGGACGAGGAATCAACAAGCGTTGCACCCGCAACTTCAACTGAAGATCAGTCAGAATCAATCACAACGGAAAGTCAACCGGAATCAACCACATTAGAAGAATCTAAAGAAACTAGCGAACAACCTGGTAAATCGACCAGTGCTGCAACCGAAGAGACCTCAGATAGCTCATCTCAAGGCTCGGTATCCACAACGGTTGCTACAAGTGCACCTGAGTCCAGTCCAACAACTCAAGTTCCCACCACCACCATTAGCCCATCTACCACGCAGGCGCCAACCACTACTGATGAGTGTATTCCGCCACCCACACGATGTACCTGTACATGCGGTAAATTCATTTCCTCTTTTTTAAAACCACTCGATTTGTTTTGACAAGGCTCCACTGGATGTGCTACCTCCACCATCTTGAAAAACGCATTCCAATAAATTATTGTCACATCATATACAAAAACAATCAGCAGATTAACCCTCACGCGCACCTTTTCTGCGCACGCCGCCATTCGATGATGCAGCCTAGGATTATACGGCAGGGGCTTGAGATTTAACGCGCATCTTTTCTGCGCACGCCGCCATTTTAGGATACACAGCTCGAGTTAGCCTGCTAATTGTTTTTGTATATGCTTCCGAACGATAGCCAAATAATATGGAAAGCTTTTCCACAGAAAAATTTAATTTTTCGCTGAAATCCTTGTTTTTATTTACTATAGCATTTCAAAAATGCTTGTAAAATTATTTATTTTCAGATTATCAAAAATAAGACGTCATTTTAGAGCCTTTACGTGCGAGAAAAATATAGATTTCAGCTAAATTAATTATTAAAGCTATATATCATTTAATAATTCCTATAAATAAGTATTTATGTTGAAAGTTCAACATAAATTAAAGTAGGGTAAGAGAGATGAGACACGTTTCATGGGAGGGTGGAGTCAGCACATCCTTCTCGTCGTACTTATTGAGTGGAACCAATAAACGACAAGCCTTAGAAAGTAACACTCTGGCATTTTTTTTTGCAGAAGCCGTTCCCGTAACTGGAACCAGCCCCATTTGGACCACTCCAAGTTCGACTGTCACAGAGCATGACAAAGAAATTAGTTCACCAACTTGTACAGAGTCTCCAGGTGAAGAAACTACCACGTCTGCATCAGAGGAATCATCGACTCCTGGTGGCGAATCATCAAGTCCCGCTGGAACAAATTCTGAAGAGCCTGAGAAGTCATCTACTCCTGGTGAAGAATCTTCAACTACTGTTGAAAATAATGAGGAATCGTCGACTCCTGCTGGAGAGCCTTCAAGTCCCGCTGAAACAACTTCTGAAGAGTCTGAGGAATCATCTACGCCTCCTAGAGAAACATCTCCCGACGCTTCAACATCACCAACAACTGTTACTGATGACGACGACGAGACTACCACAGTACCATCTTCAAGTCCCGCAGAAACAACTTCTGAAGAGTCTGAGGAATCATCGACACCTTCTGGAGAATCATCTCCGGAAGCTTCACCATCGCCAACAACTGTTACTGATGATGACGTTGAGGCTACCACAATACCATCTTCAACAACCATTGTACCTTCTCCATCAACCGCTTCACCTCCAGCACCAACAACTGTTACTGATGACGACGCTGAGACTACGACAGTACCACCTTCAACAACCATTGTACCTTCTACATCAACCGCTTCACCTCCAGCACCAACAACTGCTCCACCCTCACCACCAACAACTGCTCCACCCCCACCACCAACAACAGCTTCACCTCCACCACCAACAACTGCCCCACCTCCGCCGCCAACGACCGCTGTTCCAGAAACATCATCCCCCAGTGCACCCCCACCAAGTGGTCAAAACAGCTGTGACAAATGTAATACATTTATTAGTTGATCCACTTAACAGCGGCGGATTTTAATGATAATTTTTTATAGTATCCAACCTTTGCCCGAGGGTTGATGGTAAACACCCAGTTTACATTGCTCTGGAGTCTTGTGATGGATTTTGTCAATGTTCTAATGGACAGGCCTACTACCAACCTTGTGCCCCCGGACTTCATTTCAACCCCATTTTGAATGTGTGCGATTGGCCTAGGGATGCTGGATGTACAGGTATAGCCGGGACGACTTCTACTACTGAAAGTGAGTTTTTGATATCCTTCTCTGCTATTTATTTATAGATGCTGTTGGGCCAAAGCGTAAAGAGCGAATCAGTAGAATATTTAAATTTCTTGGGAAGTCTGTTTTGAAATGAATTGAAGATCAGTTTTGTATTGGAAAAATTATTTTCGTTAGAGTTAGCGCTGTGGTGTAAACAGCTCGGTGTTTCAGCTATACGTCCCGGGCACTCGATCCTGAGCAAAGCCAGAGTAAAAATGTTTTTTATCCGCAGGCGCATGTTAATTTTGATCCCAAAAAGCCTGGGAAGACAAAGCGACACCATTTTTATGTTTAACTTTGCTAATTTCTTGGTGCCAGGTTTACATACCTCAGTGTGTATGCTTTTAGGAGCAATTTGTTTTTTGTTTATGGGAGAAATAATAATTAGTAGTCACATTATCTTTTGCATAACACGCCAAAGTTCAAATACCAATTTCTGTTTTCCATTTTTGGACCTCATTGTAGAGCTAAAATGTAAACTACCTAATTGTATCCTAGAGTGGCAACTTTAAGCTAATATTTTCAACTTTTGGAGGCGGGAGCCAAATATTGTAAAACCTAAATGTCTGCCAAAATTATTTTATTTCAGGGCCCTCTTACAGTATGGACGGTCTGCAGTCATTTTTAGTAGGCTGGAACGCTCTATCCAGTTGGATCGTTAATGGGCGTGGTCAAAATTAGTATGATTATTTTTTTTTTCTTAAGGATCCTGCAGTTAAGCGAGTACCTACCTTTTGAGCACTAAACGCCTGTAATTTCAATGGTTTTGGTTAAAAAAAAGAAACAGGGACGTAACACCTTTGTACTGGTAGATATTTGCTCTGCAGAGATCGATGCTGTAAATAACGCATCCAACTATTCAGCTGTACATACTATAAACGCTTATTCGAACCGCCTAATGAATTTTATGTTATTGTTGGTTAATAGCGGTTTAATCGTAACAGGACTTCAAACAATTGAAGCTTTATTTATTCCTAATCTACCTGTACCTACCTTACAGCGTTAAATTATGACACAATGGCCACAATTGCAGGATTTATTTGTGATTTTTTTTTTCAAGATATTTCAGAAACAACCACAACTTCAACAACCGAAGCTCCAACAACCACTTTATCTACGACAACACCCCCTCCAACCACAACTACTACAACAACTCCACCGCCAACCACAACCGAAGCAGCTGCAACCACAATCGGTCCAGACTACCACGGTGACGTCACATACGTATGTCGCGGTCGTCCTCAAGATTTCTTCTTAAGTCCTCACCCTCACGACTGTGGAAAGTACATAGCCTGCGACCATGGAAAATCTGACGTTATGTCCTGTCCGGATAATTTGCACTTTAGCCCAACGATTTACGTGTGCGTTCAATCCGAATCTGCCGGATGTACCGCCACGCCTCTGGAGGAGAGCTCCCTCAGCGGTAGATTTGCCAAGTTTTTTAGCAAATGGTTCTAAATTAGGTATTGTGAATAAATAATTTGAAAAATATATTTTTGTATAATAAATTATGAGCGAATCGGTTGAATTATGTGAGCTTTTTTTTTGGTTACACTTACTAGCCGAGTTTTGGCGTTAACCTTCCATCAAGTTACTTGGAGTACTGAGGAGGAGTGCAATTCGTTAAGGCGTGACGATTATTTTCAGACGAAACAGTGGAATTTGTTTGTGAATCAAAAAGTATCCTCACATTGGGATTACCTACAAACAAACCGCTTACAAACATAATTTCACAAATTCAGCCAATCGACGCATAGCATGCAAAGATTTATGCCACGGAATGGAAAGCGTTAACCACATCTTAAATAAAAGCAGATGATCAAAAGCTTTTCTATCCAAAGAATTAGAATTATTGACCTAAATACGCGTCCGAGCGAGCCTATAACGTATTTCAAGTATGGACTAAAATATCCAATTTCTACGAGTTGAAGAAATGGGTATAAGTGATGCCAGCCTCTCGGCCAGCCCTAAATTCCAAAATTTTGAAATAGGAAAAATATTTAATGAAAAAAAAACAATGATTACCTACTATTAAATTATAATGGAAAGAACCATGATTAATAGTTTCCAAATCAAGGCGTTTCTCTGAATATTTTATACCTGAGTTTAGAGTATAAAAATCCCCTTAGTGGCTATTTCAAAATGCCTGGTTTTCCGTAGAAGAGTGTTACGGATTCCGGGTTCACTAAAACTCACTTCACCAACAATAACAATCTTTCATTGAACAAAATTGACTTTAAAACTATCTCAATTCAGATCGTCCCGATCTGGCCATTTATCCTCGTGATAAACCTTCAAGTCTTTGGCTTCCACCTGCTGACCCAAACACCAAGTCACAGGTTGAACGAAGGCAACGAAGCTCTCTTTCAAGCAACACCTTCGCTGGTATCACACTCCTGTGGTGCTATATACAGCTGACATGAATGCCATCAGGAATAGAGGTACCATAATATGCTCGTCCCAATAGTCCGTATCCTTGTCAACTACTTTGGAGAGATGTTGCTTGATCGTCTTGTTGAATGTCTCAATCATGTCATCTGATTGTGGAGGTAATACCGTGCTTCTGGTCTTCTGAATGCATAGCCGTACGCAAAATTTTGAAATAGTCCTGACTCGAAGTTACATCCTTGATCTGAGCGAAGTTCCAATGGGATTTCAAACCTAGTGAAAACATTATTAATAGTTGTATTCCTTTCAAGTGTTTGAAACACTCGACCTACTCGCTCCGGTGATTAGTAGCCCCCGATTTGCAGGGAACAGATGCGTGGTACGACAAACACTTTTCGAAAGGAACAAGTGCGTGAAGCCCCGGAGCTGTTCCGGAGCTCCTCCTAGGTGTGAAAGGAATACAACTAAAGAGTACTTTTGCAACTGTAGTCGCTTCTTGGTTTCGAATTGCAAAAACTACAGGCCACTTTCTGAAATAATCCATGGGAACCGAAATGTACTTGTTGCCAGTGCGCGAGAATGGACCGGCTTTATCTATTGCCATTCGTTCATTGGTCCCTTAGATCGCGTTTTAGGACATTGGCTTGCTGCGCATGTCGCACATTGTCGGCACCATGTCTTGACATCCTGGTAAAAGTTCACCCAGTAGTGTCTCGAATCTTGTCCAAGCTCTTGTTGACTTCCAAGTGAGCTCCGGGACGTCCCATTATGACCTCCCAAAACTCGAAAAACTTTTGTCCTGGGAATTGCGCTTTGACCATTTTACCGTCTGCACTCACCCAGGTTTATTTCAGTAAACCATTTTCGACCAGCAGTCCCATTGAGCACACAGCGCCTTGAAAGTTAGGCTTCTAGGTGATATTTTATGCCAGGTTGGTCTGGAGTTGCCAGTTTCCTTTAGATTTAGAAATGGCTTGATGCCAGAATCTTATATTTGGTTACTTCTAAGCTGCTCGGAACTAGTTTCTTGATCTGTTTCGGGCATGGTCTCCTGGATAAAGGCATGTCGTTATGTAGAACAATGTTTGATTTGAAAATTATACTGTCACGGCTCTGGGGTGCGTGACAGAATTCTTGGGCTCGTTTATTCCAAAATCAAAGTCAAATCAACACAACAATAATTTAGGTTTCAAACCGCTGTATCTTTTTCAAAAATAAATATTTTTGAACGCGGTTTGCGGCTTTTAAAAGCCCGTTTCTTCTCGGTCTGCTTGGTAGGAAAGCCATTATTATGTTATACGGGGTGATAAATAAAGTTATGCAAAAAAGCAAAAAGTTTGTGAGTGTGACATTTTGGCTAAGATTTTTTTTAGGCGTTACAATATGGTTCGTAACTACAGTAACATCAATATCTCTGGACATTTTTGTCACTTTTTGCATTTGAGCCCTTTGGCCTAGCGCGCACTAGCTATTCATTGTCGCGCGACTGGCGATAGTTTTGTCGCAGTAGCGTCGCCGTGAAATAGGACTGGTTCTATTATTTATCCGCAGCGATTATTTTGTCGCAGAATGCGTGCATGTTCGTTAAAATATTAATGGGCCAGTTTAGCGACTAAACAATCGCGCGATAATAAATAGCTAGTGCGCGCTTGCCCTAATATTTCAACGAACATGCACGCATTCTGCGATGAAATAATCGCTGCGGATAAATAATAGAACCAGTCCTATTTCGGCGACGCGACTGCGACAAAACTATCGCACCACAACAAATCGCTAGTGCGCGTTTACCCTAGACACAATACTAAACATCGAATTATGGTAACCAAATCCTCAAAATGCTATAATTCGAAACCAAAATGACGAATTTTCACGAGCGTTTTAAATGTAGATTTTCTATGAGTAGAGGGAGATAGTGTTTATCAAAATTTAGTTAGAAAGTGTCAAATTTAAATAAAAAAAAGTAGGTACATCCACCATCATCATACGTGACCTCACTAAGGGGTAAGTCAAAAATACCCCAGAAAAAACGCACGCTATCGCTATTTCATGGAATTTATTAAAACCCAGTTGAAGGTTAAACAGTGCAAAACATAAACAATATACATCAACAGTACGACCACGGTACCGCTGCAGTAAAACTACAAAACGCAGCGTTGCCGAGACCAATAATCTGTCAAGGCATGGCTGATATACCTGAGGAAATCTCACTAAAGAGTTTATGGGATCTTATGATTACGGTGAAAACCGCCGTTGTTCAAGAAATTCAAGAGGTGAAGACCGAGTTAAGAGGTCACAACGAAAACCTTTCGCAGGTCCAAGAGAACATAGAAACGCTGAAGCAAGAGAATAAAGAGTTGAAAGACAAGGTGAAAAACTTCGAACGACAGTTGAAACGAAAAAATATAATCCTCTACGGCGTTGCAGAAAATTCATCAACACCACAAGAAAACGTCATAAATATTGTGACCAACAAACTTAAGGCCCAATTGACAATCTGTGATATCGCAAACTGCGCTAGGCTAGGCCAGAAAAACAGTAAGCCCAGACCAATACTTGTAGAGTTTGTCTCATTTCTCAAAAAAAAGAAATCCTGAGTAAGAGAGCAGAACTGAGGGGATCTAAGGTTTTCATCAGTGAAGACTTGACCAAAGAAGAACTTTACCAAAGACAAACGCTTCTAGAGATTCTTAAGGACCAGAGACTTAAAAACTGCCAAAAAAACTCAAGGGTCACAACAGTGTTGAGATCGGTGGGATTCAGTACAGTTTTGAAGAAATTACAGAGAACCAGAAAATTCCACCCCAGCTAGCAAACGAGTTTGCATCACCTCCTCCAAGGAAGTCCCTTAGTGCTCCAGCAACTCCCACACAAATCGACTCTGACAGCGAGACCGAAGAAGAAACCAAAAAGAACAACGTGCATATTCCTCCCTCTTTATCCTTTATCAAATCACACGAGAGAAAAATATATACAAAAAAAATTGTAATTTAATTTATTAAATATTTATTAACCACATTTTTTTTCCCAAAGTGTTAAGTGTTTCAATTATTTTCTTTTTTATTCAAAGGCCAGGCGCTTATCTGGGAACTGGGAACAAGTGCCGTGTCCTACTCAGTTCCATCATTGTATAGTTCCATGTAAAATCTCATGTGAGTCAGACAAAGACTGAAAATTAATAAAACCGTGCCCTGCGCCCTCGTGCGTATCGAGCGAGAATTAGGCTGCAGGGTCCTTATATTCTTGGAACAGGAGAGCAAAGTTCCCAGGAGAACGAGTGTTCCATCTTTGTTACTTATATTATCATTTGCATATCATTGAGAAAGACGGAACACTCGTTTTCTTGGGAATGTTGCTCCCCTGTTTCAAGAATAAGGACCCAGGTCGCATCTTAGCTCCGTGCAGCCGTACAGCCAATGGGCCAATTTTTCTGTTAAATGTTCCTTTTGGTTCTTGCAAAATTACTCTGGACATTATCATTTATGGAGTAATTAAAAAACACGACAATCTACGCAATTGACTCAATGTCACTCCAAAAATCTTTGCGCTTTTTTATTCGTCAAGCCTAACTAAGGGGCGCCAAAATATGAAATCGCACGCGGGCGGCTTCAGGTCTGGCGGGGGCCCTGGACATCCTCAGCCAGGAGAAAGTTAAGGAGACCCAAGTAAAACTGTATAAGGAAAAGAAGCAAGAAAAACTCACTCAACAGCTTCTCAGAGAAAAAAACAAATTGCAGGTTTCTGAGCTATTAAACAAAAAATCTACGTCAAGATCTAGCTCTCCAGCCACACCCAGCAGCGCTAACGCTAAGGAAAACAAGAAATTTACGTACGAAACTCGTCAAAACAAAAGAAACTAGGTCCTGTACAACTCTGCATGTGATAATAATATTATTTCTATTTAATTTTGATATCCCGACAAAACAAAAAAAAAATTTAATGTTCAATAAATAAATAGGTTTTTTGTCTTCTGTCTGTGATACTACTGCGTACTATAATTATAATTTTTTTCTTCAATTTGTATAGATAGGATTAATAGTATATTTAAAATTTGTACAATAAGGATATCCTCTACTTTTTTCAAGGAACCATAATCACTATGAATCAATTTACAATAGCTTTTTTTAACGTCAGCTCTCTTGTTGCAC